GGGCCTCGGTCGACCGATCAGAAGCCGCACGCGCGCAGTCGTCTGATTGCCTCTCGGGTAATCTCTTTCTTCCAGGCGTAGTCGCACACCTCACATCATCCCAAGTTCCCAACCCCTCTTCGCCATGGCAAAACATAGGGGAGCCGCAGCCGCCCCTAGCTCGTTCTTCGGTCATCCCCTCGCAACACCAAATTTAACAATTTTAACCTCGGGACGAAATCAAATCACAGAATGAATTACTCGTGAAACTATTTCACGCCGATGACATTTTTGTGTAGCACCCGCCACGTAGGCGCCACACCCTACGGTGCAGCGCCTACCTCTGGGGCGTTGCACATCTGTCCACCGTGGCAGCCCCTGGGCCCGCACCCAACAGTGCAGCGCCTCCAAGCTAGGCGCCACACATTTAAAGTGCAGCGCATGGCGCTCGGGCGTTGCACTGTGACTTATCCAGCCACTCGGCTGCCCCCCCCCCACTCCCCCCACCCCACACACCCCAACCCAAGCTTTGCCCCCTCTCCCACTCTCTCTCCCTCTCAAAACCTCTCCCAAATCTTGCAAATTTGGCGAATTTGTCCGTGGATTTTGAAGTCAAACACTCCCTCAAGGTAATCTTCTCCGATCCCCTTGTTTTGATCCAAGTAATGTTATCAATTTGCTCATTTGTTGCTAGTTTGGGGAAACCCTAGTTTTGTTTGGATCTAGAGATTTGCATGGAGACAGGGCCGGTCCTGATATTTCGGGGGCCCAGGGCGAAATTACAACCAGGGGCCCCTACTATAAAGATCAAAATAATAATCTCATTTTTTTAGTTCATTCCTTTACTTAACTTATTATTGTCTATTGTTCCAAAATAAAACAAAAATTGCAAATGGTGTATTCATTTACTTAATTAGACAAATCGAATACCTGATAGAGGGCAAACATCAAGATGAAAGGTTTATAAAGTTTAAAAGCTTCATTTGCAACAATAAAAGATCATTTACCTACCGGAGGGCTATGGGAGTCTGAGTGGCTTTATTATATAACCATGTTTGGATTGAAGTTATGCGTGTAAGAATAGCTGAGACGTTCTTCCAATTTTTAAGTTAAATTTGCAGTCATGATGATTTGGAGAGAGAATGCAAAGACCGACAATCGAACACATAGCAGGCAATTTTTTCAATAGATAAGGCGATTGGTGTTGTGTTGACAAAGTACAGATTGAAATAAGAAATAGAGCAACGGGCACACGAAATCAAAATTGTGTACTACATCATATGCGAGACCTTCTAAGATCTGACTGCTGCTGCACCATATGAACGTGACCAATTAGAAAGAGGAGGTTAGGGATGACCTTATAAGTGGGGTGGCTTCGTCTTGCACATGAGAGACATCTCACGAACGTGGGATAACACAACGGGCCCGGGGACCTGGAGGAAGACCAGCCGGCCGCATGGCGGAGAGCGATCTACATCGGTGGCGCGTCTCACGATCGGGATCGGGGCCCTTGGGGGAATAGTATCGTCGCGAAGCGGCGAACTCGCGATGGAAAGAAAGAAAACATGGCTACTCGTGGACTACGTGCATCTAGATCGCTGCCTCCTTATGGTCTGGGCCATGGGCTCCTTGCAAACCCTGGAGGAGGCCCCTAGATTTCGGGGGCCCTGGGCGGCCGCCCCCCTGCCACCCCCTCAGGGTCGGCCCTGCATGGAGATGTGAGATGTTTGTTTGCAAATTTCCTATGATTAGGCTTTGTTAGTATGTTAGGGTTATTCTTATGGGTGTTCTTATGTTGATGCTAGGGTTAGGTTTAGGGATAGGGTTATAGTTAGGGTTAGGGTTAGGGTTGTTGTTTGATATATATTTTAGGGTTTGTATTCCTTGTTAATCCTTGGATTAGTACTCATGGAAGCAATGTTACGTTGTGTTATTTGAATTCTTATAGGGATGGGTAGAACATGTGTGTTTGTTCATCATGGGGACAAAGATGCCTTCTTGAAAGGCAATATTGAACCGGAGCCGGATGAGCTTGACATGGTGTTTGATAGTAGTCCTAGCTATGCGGAGCTGTTGCTACAAGTGAGAAAAGATTTGAATTGGATGGACCCTAGTGATATCGTTGAGTTGGAGGGAAGGCATAATGTAGGTTTTGGAATGCACATCCGTTGAAAGACAATGTGTGTCAACTCGGAGCAACGTTGGGTTGCATACAAGGAAACGGTGGCCAAATCACTAGACAAGGCTCTTGAGTTATTTGCAACAAAGAAGGTTGATTCAAGTTTGCATTTGGACTTGAACCGAAACCCCTCCCCTTTGGTTGCTAGTATCCCCCCACCCTTGAAGTGAGATGAAATTGTTGAACCTCTTTTGACCCAAGAAGTGAGGCCAACATTAAGCCTATTTACAAACAACCAAGATGAAGCTTTGCAAGAGGAGAATGATGAGTATGCGGACGATGACAATGAAGTTGATCTCCATGACAACAATGTGGGTGATCTCGACAAATATCATTTGCAAGAGACAATGGACCATTCCATCCCTTTTTCCCGTGCATATGCATCGGACTCGAATGATGATGGTCCCGACGAACAAGTTGATGCAGAGGGGTTCACGGTGAAGGAGGTCGAAGCTTTCGAGAAGGTATTCGGTTGGGATCATCGAACTACATTGTTCAAGGATGTTAGTCTCGCGGATGAAGCCATGGTAGATGGTGTCCAATGTATATCTCTTGGGGTTAGGCCAAGATGTCACCGTGATTTGGGAGACGACAAGAACCAGATTGCAAAAGGGTCTAAGTTCGAAACCTTCTTGGAATTGAAGATGTGGCTCGACAACTACTCGGTTATGCATTATCGTCCACACAAGGTGGTGAACTCGGACGTCAATGTGCGCTACACGGTTGCATGTGCATGTGAAGATGAAATATGTCCGTGGATTGTGCATGCAAGAGCATGGAAAGGAGGTCCCACTTGGCACATAGTGAGTTGTATGCCAACTCACATGTGCCGAGGCAAAAGGGTGGATGGCAAGATTGTGTCCCAAGACCACAGACAACTCACGTCCGAGCTCACCGCTTACAGGCTCTCCAACTCAATATCCACACTTCCAACAATGAGCGTCCAACATGTCATTGACCTTGTGAAAGCCATCTTTCATTACAAGGTGAAGTACGACAAGGCATGGAAGACGAAGCAAGCCGCATTTAAGATGTTGTATGGTACTTGGCAGGAAGCATACAACTGAATCCCTAGGTTGTTGTTAGCCATGGCCGCGACAAACCCGGGCATGGTTCATGTGGTCGAGCCTCATGGGCACCAAACAATAGTTCATGAAGGAAGGAAAGTCTGAGTATTTGGTCGTGCATTTTGGGCATTCGAGCAATGCGTGAGGGCTTTCGAACACTGTAGGCCGGTCATCGCCATTGATGGCACGTTCTTGACCGGACAATACAAGGGCACCTTGTTGGTTGCAATAGCAAGTGATGCCAATAACCGGGTGTTGCCATTGGCATTTTCTTTGGTTGAGGTGGAGAACAATGACAACTGGGGGTGGTTTTTGCGTCTTTTGAGGACGAAGGTGTTACTCGCTCAAAGGGAAATTTGTGTCATATCGGATCAGCATCTAGGAATTCTTAACGCGGTGGAGATTGACATTCCCGGGCATGCTCCGTTGCACCATCAATTGTGCATGAGGCACTTTTGTTTGAACTTTTATAGGGCGTGTGGCCTTAAGGAGTTGGCCGATGATCTTCAAGATTGTTGTCTCGCTTTCTCCGACAAACGGTTTGCCACTTTGTATCACAAATTGCTCGCACACAAAAAACTACATCCCGGGGGTCAAGACTTTCTCAATAGGCACATTCAATACCGGAACAAGTGGGCACGTGCTTTTGATGAAGATGGCCGGAGATACGGTCAAATGACAAGCAATATGGCCGAATGCTTCAATAGGGTGCTCAAAGGTGCACGTGGATTACCCGTGACGGCAATAGTTCAATACACATTTGACAAGATGAATGCGTACTTTCTAAAGTACTCGATGGAAATGGATGCATAGATAGCGGGTGAGAACCCGCGCAAGTACAAGTACAAGTTCCCACCCAAGGTTGATGAATGGTTAGAATTTCAATCACGGAAGGCGGACTCAGAAGAAGCTATATTATATGACAACGAAGAGTGGAAGTACAAAGTGAAAGAGCCAGGAGGAACCACAAAAGATGGCCGCCAACATGGAGGTCGGGCTTTCAAGGTGTCATTAACACAATGTGATTGCTCTTGCGGGAGGCCATTGTTGCTTCATCTCCCATGCTCACACTTGTATACCGTTGGTCGCGTTAGGAATGTGGACATCAATCACCCACGCACTGTGAGGGAGTCGGAGTTCTCAATCATGACGGTCAAGAAAACATGGGCTCCCCGCTTTCACCCATATTTTGACCAATCACAATGGCCGGAGTACCATGGTGTTCAACTATGGCTGGATCCGGAGTTGAAGATTGTTAAACGGGGTAGACGTAAGACAAAGCATCTTAGAGGTGACATGGACGGATGGGGCCATGGTGGCCGCCGCGAAACAGGCAACGACCAATTCCAAGAGCCTCGTGAGAGCTCCCGTTGTGGGGAGTGCA